CGCTGGTACTCATTGTGGTGATACTTTGTCTTGACCCATCTGATGTCTCTCTATCCAGTGTGATAACCAGCATTGTGTGTAGCTACCATTTCCGACACTGTCTAACGATAAGTTAACCTTAACAGTTTCGTTCTTAATTTTGTTTCATTATTCTCGTTATGTTATTTTTTCTTTCATTTGCAGCGGTATTCAAGCAATAAACCTTCACTTCTTGCCGTAATCCTTCGTCTCTTTTGTGTTATATGTACAGTTTTTCGAAAAAATGATTTCAATGGGTGAACAAATCTTACGAGGTACACTTAGCCTAGCCCTGATGATGCTACGGCCTCTGTAACGAAACGCATCGGCATTAAATGGTTGTAATCTCTGCAGTTTTTGCTGTCCTGAACCATGAATCGTTCGAACACATCTATATAACTATGGGCCTAGAATCAAAAACCTGAAGTATTATTTATTTTTAAATAAGCTTATGTGAATTCTTATGAACCGCAGTTGAAGGCTTAAGCTGAACTGGTTGACGGAAAATATTGTAAGACTCAGCTTCGATCGTCGAAGTGCGTTGGTCATCAATAAATTGTCCTATTTCACATTTTCTATATACACATTTATGTGTTAAAGATGATTCTATAGAAAGCCATCAAGATGAATTGCAGCCTTTGTGTGCACACGCATCAGGCAAGGTGATCGCGTATCTCGCATCCCGCAGCATCACACAAGCCTTTTTATCCGCAGGTGAACGTTTTGGTTGCACTGAAGCAAATTCGGGTCAATTCTTTACTCAAATGTGTTTTTAGATTCCAGCCCTACACTTCCGAAGTTCAAACCGGCGTCTCATCACTGCGCGATCGCATCCTAATTCTTGAAGTCTTCTACGGCACTCTGATTATGTATATTTTTGGTTATATGTATGCTGGCAGGATTGGATGTACATCATCTTAAGGAAGGAAGGAAGGAACGTTCTTAACCGAGTAAAACTTCAGTCTTGCTTGCAATTTCATTATGAGGCCGTTCTGGCGCCCTTCTTTTCATAAAGTTAATGGTTGGGCGTTCATTTTTATTTCCATGCCATCAGCCGGAAGTGCCTTATTTTAAGGGCAGAGTTGACAGCAGCTTTGCATATGGCATAGCACTCTGCTGTTTCTTTCCTACAGAGTGGTGCTCATTCCGAAGGAAGAATGACGAGTAACTCGACAGAGGCTCAAATCCAACACCTCTTGGTTCTGAGTCAGACATTCTACTGCCTGAGCAATCCTGGTTCAGCGCCTGAGAAGTAGACGAATTTTTTTGAGAGTCAGTTCCTATAAAATGGGAGTGGAAACCAGATTTAAAATCTGTTCTGAGCCAAAACTTGTTTCTGAAGGTTGTGATCAAGATTTATTGAAATATTTTTCGAAAAACGGGAAAATGTTCAAAATCTGAACATTTTTTCAGACAGTTTGATGAACAGAGGCGATTAGTTGAACGTACCAATCAAGTTTGTAACTTTCATGGCTATAAGGATCCATTTTGGGAGGGGGAGCAGTGGTGCAGTTGATTAGTAGGTTGTTTTGTACGTTAGAGCACCAGTCCATACCCAACCTGCGGCGCGAATTTTTTCTTATAAACTGCCTATTTGCTTGAGGAAGGAATTCACCCTATTTTGCTTCGGTGCAACCAGCCGAAAAAGGGTAGCACCTCGTTGACTCGCAAATAATGTGGACGACATGGTGCTTTGACGTACCAAACATGCCAAATACCCAAGCACGCAAGATATATGACCATGCTAATGCATAAGCTTTACTACTGAAATTCACTTTGACTCACCAGATAACTGATTAAAATACGGTATCAGGTAAATCTTGAAGAAAATCTGACTTTTTTCATGGCATTGTGGTAATGAGGTCGGCTTGAAACGCTTTAGCAGCATGCTGCGGTCATATCAGAGCGGGTAAAAATTACGGCAATTCTCTCTCATGTGAGCGGCTCATAGGGCGGTAATTGGCTTTGACCCATCTGATGGCTGACTGCTCAATGTGATAATCAGCAGAACTGTAGCTCCAGTTGTTGTTTATCATGAAAGTATAACATTACGTTGTTATCAGCGGTGTTGCTGCCCAAACATATTTCCTTTGTTTAGTGTTGAAGAAATTAATTCGAAAATAGCGTTTGTTATTGTTGGTGTGTTGAATTCACTTTCGCTTCCACGATGATTTCCATTCGTGGCACCCTTTTTCATACAGCTCATGCTGTTTCACTACTTTCTATTTCGACGCCGTCTTTTTTATTATCCGGCTATGATTTAAAATTTGGCAATCTGTCCCTTGTAGAATTCAGTATTTCATTGTCTTATTAATGCTTTACAGAAGGATGCTTTTTTCAGTAGTACAGTGATATCTAGACGTAATACTTAGAGATTGCACCTATATCTATGTGCATATGTACTTATATACCTGTAACTAATACCTATATACACGATATTTTAAGGAGCCAGGAAGATTCGTGGAGGTTCGAATTAAGTGCTTTACCTTTAAGTTTCTGTACAGCTCAGTTTTTGTTTTCGCAGTGATGAAGTTTCCTGGTGTATCGGTACTTCGAGAGTAACAAGGTATTGAATTTGTATCAAGCGGTTGGATATTATATTGTAATATCAGTTCAGGGAAACAGATAGACCGGTCATAAACAGTCTAAGCAATGGCCTTAGCCATGATTCATAAGGAATACTTCTTTACAGTAATGTCAAGCTGTGCTAAACCATCCGTTACAGTCAAATCATAAAGAAATGCCGGTAGAAAAGCAAGCAATGAACATCACCTGATTAAGAAAAGTTATTTTTTTAACACCAGTTTCAGAACAGACTTGGTGCCTTTTGGGTGTTCATAAGCCAAAGCGAATGACCGATAATAAACTGAGAGAATGCACAGAAAAAGAATTCGAATACGAGTGTAAATGTGCAAATAATAAGCGTAATACTTATGCAGAGCCGTTCATATCAGAGATGGAGATTCTTTAGGGCTTATAACGATAAATCAGAATATGTGGTTTGACTGACTGTTAAGGCAGTAGTTTGCAGCAGAAATCAAACTGATCATTCTGAAGCCTTTATAATTCGAAATTTACATATTCGAGTCTTCACTTTCCATGGCAGCGTCTCCTTTTGGGTCGCGGCGGCAGAGGAGAGTGTTTCCAACGTTCCCGATTCTGTGTCAGAGTCTGAACTTCGGCAGACGAAAACTGAAGTCTAGAAGAAACTCTTTCCATATATCTGGAGCAGGTTAATCTTGGCCTTCCCCTGGGTCTTCTGCCAGACGTTTTCGCAAGAAACAGTTGCTTAGCCTTTCTTTCTGGAGGCATTCGCAACTCATGCCTAAACCATCGCAGCTGTGAATTCTCAATCTGGAGAGGCAGAGGCTGTACACCAAGGCTCTCCCAGATATCATTACGGACCAAATGAAGACACGTAAGGCCAGCGAAGAGCGAGACGCGTAAGAAAGCCCACTTCAGCAGCTTTTACCCGGATTCGAAGCGTTTCAGTCATTGTCCACGACTCATGACCGTAGGTTAGCATGGGGATAAAGATCGACTTGAACACCGAGAACTTAGTTCTCAGACTGAGCTCTGCTCTAGTCACAATTGAAATTCGACTCCAACATCTCACGGAACTTCTCCCAGGAATCAGCGTTGGCTTTCACAACTGCATTTGCTGCCGTCTTGCGCGCCTCTGCATGTCGTACGGGCGTAAAAGACTTTGTTTCCAAGGTTTCTTGAACGCTGCCTTCTTTTTAACTGCCAGTTGTACCTCTCATGTCCAC